AGTATAAATTATGCAAAATACATTATACGTGTAGCCAAAACTTTGCTTAGCTTTAAATAGCATAGAAAATAGTTAAAACCGCTTTGAGATTTTTTTTATTTGTGTCCTATTAGGGAGATTTTACTTCACTCACTGTTCTGTAGATACAACAGGAAGTAAAAAGAGATCTCCGCAGAATAAAGGAAATCTCTTTGTAGACAGCTGTCCCCACAACAAGTGTTTCCACTGGAAGATTGTTCCTATATTCCTGTTATGGTGACAACTCAAAAGTTTGGATTTTCCCTCACTTTGAAGAAAAGACAACACTGACAACAAGCCCTTTCATACCTTATACAAAAAAGATTAATTCTAAGGCTATACTGGTTGTTTTTTTTGTTTTTTTTTTAATGAAGAGAGTATCCAGTACAGGATAGATTTGAGAGATTATTGTGAACCTACCAAATGCACATTAATTCACCTGTTTCACATTAATTGGCACCTGCCAGCATTACAAACTTACACTGATATTTTGAGTAAGCAGTTACTTCTTTTTGCCGGGAATATAATATTACTATTGTTTCCCAGCTTCGGCAGCCGCTTAGACAGCCTAAATCACATAGTCTCTGGGTACCATGCATTACTGCAGAGAGTCTGATGTTTTAGCAGATAATAATGAAACCATAATTTGTTAAATAAAAATGTCTCTTTTGGTTCCTTAAAAAACCCCAAAAGCTGGTGTCTGGTTTTTTTATGAGGGTGAACAAAGGCAGTGAGTAGGTGAGTTGTGCTTATATCCTCACTCACATTCCAATGCCACTCTTTAGTCCCCATTTTTTTTTAGAATACATGCCCAATAATAAAGGCCAGACTGGCTAATGGCAATGCTACAAGGGTATGCCAAGCTTTTGCATATTCCAGACAACTTGCCTGGTGTGGCAATTGTAGTGCACTCTGATAAATAAAATAGCATTACTAAAAAAATAAAAGCAAAATGCTTGCGTGACATCATTTCCATCCACTGGCAAGTACAGGAAAATAAAGGAGCCAATCTGCCTTTAACTGTGATAACATGTCTCAGAAATCTGAATTATTGAAAAAGTTTCATTGTAGATGGAAAATTCCAGTGCAAAACAAGGAAAGCTCCTGAAAAAACAAGGGGGCCTCAATTTATGAACTTGTGGCTGACATGGTAGTTTATAATTATTTATTAAATAGCAGCTTAGAGCCCAAAAGCAAATTAAAACAGAACAAATGCTTCCAGTATGGCATGGGTAAGTCTAAACATGTATTTTAGCCCCCATGGAAACAACAGCCTACCTTAGTACCTAATATGGTCATTCAAAGTTGGACCCTGAAACGTTCATATGTTTCTAGGCAAGCACTTTCCTGATCCTTGCTGACACTCACAGGGTTATTCACAAAAGGGTGAAGAGTTTGGAGAAGACAGGAGAAGTGAACAATCAAGGACAACATAGCTGATTTGGAAAAATTCTCCAATTCAGCTCACTTTCCTGAATCTGCCCCATTTTCATGGTTCATATTGGCATGGCCCCATCAGACTCCAATTGCATACAGGTGCATGCGCCCTTGTGAAATGACAGCAGGTGCACAGCTTTGACCAATTGCACTATTCTCTTTTCCAGCAGGAGCATGAACAATGAAGCTGGGCCCCTTGGACATTCAATGGGTCCTAGCCTCCCACCTACATTTTCTGGATGAGCGACCTCAGAGAAAAGTTTATTGTCAGTATGAACTTTTCTAGACACAATCTATTACACACACATTGTGCTACAATTTCCCACCAAAAGAGATACATTTGAAGGTTTGTACAAGGATGTTCTTTCAGAAGATTAGGCGATCAGGTTATACATGCATGGTCGGTATCCATGTAATGTTATAGGCAGCTTAAATTGAATGTATAATCAACATTTCTTTTTTTTTTCAGTTTTGGATAGAGTTGGGAATAATTTAAACAACTGGCACTTTATCTATTTTACTGTCTGTGTCCTGTTGGGGAGATTTTCCTTCACTTCATTTCCTTGAGAAGCAACAGGAAGTAAGGGAAATCTCCCCATAGCAAGACAATACTAGACAGCTGTCGCTAGAACAGGGTCCCCCAGCTCAAGATTCCTCTTCCCTCTAATTATAGTGACAGCAGCAAAATGTTGGATTCCAATCACTTTCTGTCTCACGGATAATGGTCCTCAGGGCAAAAAGAGAAGGTGAACTTCCCAAGCAGTGACACAAAGAGAAATAAAACTTTTACAGGGGGTGTTACCCATACCTACTCCATGGCTATAAATACACTTTAAGTTCAGAAGTGAAGTGCATTGCTTTCCTGGAGCACATTTGCATACCTCTCAGCTAGCAGCGTTTTGGCCACCTTTGTACGAGCTCTGCTGTAAATGCAGTATAGGCATATGCTGTTGTTTTTATCATAAAAGTAATAACAATTAAAAAAGCAGGTAAGCAACAAAGCACCCAACTTTATAAACTGGTACTGACTAATTAGCTTTTCTGGCTTAGGGTGTGGCACTATTTGTTATATATTTGTTATATACGAAAATTGGTGTAATCTTTGAATTGTTTAAATCTTTTCATAAATATTTGAACAATTTTATTCATTGGTATTAAAACGTATCTATATTTGGGGTGCACATATCTTGGGTTTAAAAATGGTTCTGTCTCTGCTTATTTTCAATGATTTTGCCTATAGGGTACATAATCCATTCCAGCATAACATATCAAAACTGGATTACCATTAGCATCATACCAAAATTCCCCTGCTCTTCAGCTGGTAAAACTCTCTACTCGGTGCAACCACTAAGTTGAGGTGGTGGGATGTGGACACATTTGTGTTAAATCCTCAGACTGTACTGTCCCATTTGCATGCTGGGAAATAGTATACTCAGTAGTACAAATAAGTAAACTAAACTGTTCACCACACCGAGCCACCACTGCCTCCAGGACCCATAGTGAAAGCACAAACCATTAGCTTTACTACTGCCTGTGCTTTATAATCTTGCTTAGTTAATTATATTGACTGATGATTTCTCCTTTTGAAAATGCCAGTTGCTTAGTTGTTCTACTCATCCAATTTTCAGAAAGAATTGTAGTCAGGCAAACATAAAAACCTTATAGACTGACAGCAAGTAAGGACCATGTAGTCCACTGAGTTTGCCTTTCCTTACATTTTTGTAGGAATATACTGTACCTATGTTTATCCTAAGCATGTTTAATGGGCAAAGTGACAGAGTTTCCTGACAGCACCCCCTTCCACCAAGTCATATTCACCCATCCACTCTGCCTTCTGTAGTAGTCCACCCTGGGTAAGCTCCAGTGTTGAAGAATGTCAGAGCTTACCCAGGTGGGTGATATCCCTAGCCTATCATACATACCAGTGTACAGAACTGTTAACTGGGCACTCAGGTCCCACATACTATCATATTGATGAGGTCCCATACGTCCCCATAACCAGAAGAAAAAGAGAAGTCTATGGCAGTCCAATTGTGATACCATAACATCTTTTTATTGACGCACATTCGCATTATCACAAAGCAAACAAACTCTTGGGGCAGCATAGGGTCCCTTTATCAGGCAAACAATGTGAAGCTCCACTCCTTTTGGGCAAAAGAGTATGGGAATTGATGGAGCAGGGAGTCAGTGTGGGAGCGAAGAACATTGCTGGGAGAGTGGGCTGTCAGGAGACACTGTCAATTTTACCTGAATGGGCATATTGACATACTGTTAACTGACTCAATGGGGTAAATTTTCACTTTGCAAGGGAATTTTCACTTAGCTTAGTGGATGAGATGAAGCTCTGCTAACTTTCAGTCATGTGCAAACAAAAATCCTTTTTTTCTTTTAGATTTGCTTCCACATAATTGGATATCCTTTGCAAATTGAATTTTACCACATTCACCAAGGTAGGAGAAAATTCCCTTACAAAGTGAAAATTCACCCCAGTGAGTCAGGTAAAAGTGAGTCAGTTTTCAGGTAAAATCAACAGTGTTTCCTGGCAGCCCATTCCCCCAGCCATGTATACTCAATTGCTCCATCAAATTCCACACTCCTTTGACTCCGTTGCAGGAAGTGAACAGCCTAAATGCTTTAATACACCAACCCTATTCTCTCTTCTGGAAAAAGAATATTTCTGATGGTTTGAAACCAACACACCACTTTGGAGGGTTGCTTGTTACCTCTTACGTGCCAAACAAAAGCTTTACAATTTCAACTAAACAATCTAAAAATAATCCCCCTCCAAAAATAAAAAAAAAGATGCTCTACAAATGTTCCATCGGTGTTATTATTTATTTTGCAGGGTTTATTTCAAAATGAACACTCTCATTTACCAATTATTCTGCCAGAACCTGATAAAATGTAATAAATAAATTATTACATTTTTCATTTTCTAAGGAGAAAAGCAAGTAGGTCCAGATTTAGCTCTGAGTTGGTGAATGCATGCTATATTATCAAAGCCAATTACTTCCATTGTAACATGTGCCAAATCTGTGAAACAATCTCCAATTTATGCTTAATTTAAATTTTTTTTCCACAAACAAGTTGTAACTCTTTAGTCATTAATAATGGTAATGCATGTTTTGCACTAAACCTGGCAAATTTTTGCACAACTTCCGTCATAATAGCTAATGTTAGTTTTCACTGGAACGTTACATTATCTAGACATTTAGAGAGTGCTGTGAACATCTGAACGCATACAGTAGGATTTAAAAAACAGACTCTTCCCTTTCATGCGATTGGTTAAGTGAAGTAGAAGGCAGGTTCACTTTGTTTCTCTTTACAATATAGTGTGCATAATTACCAGAGCTTGTGAAATATGAAATACATTCAGTTGTAATAGCTAATAGTGACCTGAAGAATGTCATATGATACTGATTAGGCATATTTCACTTACAAATGGAAAGAGATGCAAGGAAAGAACAGATGGCAAACTAGTATGTAGAGTACTGTAGTAATAAACAGAACAATATAATGTAAGTGATCAATGATAAGTATGTTACCTGTCAGCACGTTATTGACAGCCAAAAACACAACTGCAGCTCCGAAGTACTTCATGGTTCTCTCTAACATCCCCTGTGCATTATCCCATATTTTCCTATAGTAGGGCAGGACTTATCATGTGGAAAAGGTGTGTACATGCTCAGCCTCTTTTTGCTTATTTTAGGGCTGATAAGGAACTGGAGGAAATGCACAACCTCCTGCTGGGAGTTCAGGACTTTGGGGGATGTATTGTTTAAATTCTTCACAGGAAACTCCTTTCATTTGGCTTACAGACGTGTTGTTCTTAATAAAATTATAACTTTTTAACCATGTCAGTACTGACAGCCATCATGCCTCAGGAAATTGCGAGTACGTAAAAGCATTAAAATTTCCTGTACCCTCACGCTAGTGCTTTACATATTGTTTGTGAGAAAAAAGGAGAATTTTGGGATTTCTGCATGAGAGACTCCTGAAATGTGAAGTCATAAATAGTTAAAATAAAAAAATGTTGCCATATGTTTCTGAAACAAATGGTTAAAACAATTAGGGTTGCTGATGGACAAAAAATTAATAAATTGTGAAACATTACTTAGTAATATCTGAAGGCAGAAAATTGGAATCAGTGAGTGTTCAAATCCACTGAGAAGTAGATCTGCCCTTTATCTTTAAGAAGAAAATTTGTCTATTTTATTAACATGATTTCTGCAGAAGTACAATATGCAAATTGTGGAATGACCTTGCCAAATGCCTATAATTGCTGATGACAGCAGCATAATGGTTAGCAGTTGTGGTGTCTTGGTTCATTCCTGTAATAATAAATGTTTTCGTTAGTATATACTGTAGTTTAGGATGTCTTGTGTAATGGCCTTAAATTGTTGAAAGTGCTTGCTGCACACCATACAGCATTGTGACAAGTTTGAACAACATAGCTCCTCATAGTGACATGGATGGCGCCGTGCAGAAACTCAGAGATGTGAAGATAGGTCATCAGCACTCCAAAATGCAAAGAAAATATTGTTTATTGCAAGTAACATCACACAGGTTAAAATAGCCAACACTACGGGCCCTTCATATTATTGAAGACTGTACTATATTTCCAGGTAAAAAGAACCAAGGAAAGCATGAATATTTTCTTGCACTGTAAGGATGCATCTCTTTCACAGAATATTATTTCATAGTTCTGTACACAAAGAAGACAGACCCAGAATCCAACACTTGTACTTACTCAGTAAACATGAACAACCCAGCATGCATACCTCACATCGCATTTGTTTCCTGTCCCTATTTTTAGCAGTCAATACTAAATAATCAATCTTTATTATTTCATAATTCTGTACACAAAGAAGGCAGATCCCGAATCCAACATTTTAACTTTCTCAATAACGTAAACAACTCAGCATGTCAAGAGGGTGATGTTATGACTGGCTCCGGCCACTTGCAGAGAGATCAGCATCCCTGGTTACCAGCTAACCAGGGACACTGATCTCCAGACAGCCTAACTCTCCCACTCCCGGCCACCCAGGAGAGAAACACTGCTTTTTATTTTTTATTTTGACACGGAGCCGTTGGCTGACATCAGAATAAAAAAAGGATTTTTTTTCACCATAGGAATGCCTTGCTAGATTCCTATTGGCTATTGCAAATTGAAATAGCCAATAGGAATCTAGCATTGCATTCCTATGGCGAAAATGTTCTTTTTATTTTTTTATTTGTTTTATGGCAGCAGAACCGCCGGCCAATAGAAAACAGTTGGGCGGAGCTAGCTGTCACTGCTAGCTCCGCACAATCGTTTTCTATTTATTTTTTCTACTTTTTAAACTATTTTTGAGCAGAGCATGTTTGGCCGACCTGAAGCCACGCGAAGCCACCCGATGTACGGCTGATTTCAGCCGATATACGGCTGAAATCAGCCTTACCAGCCTGAAGTGAATAGCCTACGGCAGCTTAGTGAATAGACCCGATAATTTCTAATAGGGATGAGCAAATCTGCCAACCTGCTGTTGATTTTCCAGTTTCACAAAACATCCTCAAAATTCTGAAAATCCAAACTTTTCCCAGAACCCTATTGAAGTCTAAGGAAGACAAATCTGCATATTTAATTTGTTGCTCTTTTGATGCTAATTAACAAAAAAACTAAAACATTGGTCTACGCATGGCGCTGCGTGGACGCACCTGAACAGAGCGCCAGACTCAACCTGGGCAAAACTGCCAAATCCTCCTAAACAGCTATTCTTTTGCTGAACCTTCACTATGGGAAAGAAAGGACACTGATCAGATGGTCCGAAAACTCCAACTACTGGACCTCTGAAGTGGTATCTCACCTCCGACGCATGTACGATCTCGGGGTCCGCCTCGCGGCCTACCCCGTGTCCCTTACCAGATGACCTACCTGAGGCCTGCTCCTCGCAGCTTTGCTTCCAGCACACGACTCTCTGGGCTCATCTTGTGACTCGTATCCACTGCTGCTCCATGTTCCACCTGCGGAGCTTGAGATATCTGACATGATGAAAGATCTACCTACTAAAATGGACCTTACCCAGATGTTTCAAGGCCTGGAGCAGTCCCTAAAGCAAGACCTCGCTACTGTGTGGACGGACCTCTCATCTGCTCTCCAGGATTGAGGACTCAGAATCTCGATTGGACATGCAGAAACGGCAATCAAAGAACTACAGGACATGAACAGGCGCACATAGATCAGCCCTATATAAGTTAGAAGACCAGGAAAACTGGCAGGTGTAACAACTTCCGCATACACGACCTACCTGACGCCACACCTGACTCTGATCTCCAGGACTCCCTACAGGGTATCTTTGATACTATACTGGGTCGACTTGCTACCTCTCCCTTACGTTTTGACCAGGCGCATTGGGCACTGCGTCCTCGCAACTTGTCCCTCAACATCTGCCGGTTCTATTACTTCAAGGACAAGGAGACTGTAGTCAGTAAATTATGAGTAGTGCCCTCTGTGGAGTTTGACGGTGCCACATTGCAGATTTTCCCAGACTTTGCCAGAGAAAACCTGGAGAGACAGCGAGCACTCCACCCACTGCTGGTTTGCCTTCCAGATGCAAACATTTCATACCGCTGGGGTTTTCCCTCTTGCCTCATAGCCCACAAGATTGGTCGCTCATCCTTCCTACGATTTCCAGAGGAGTTGGAGTCCTGTTGTTCTGACTTGGAGACTGAAGTCCATGCTCTACCTGGCTGAAGGGAAGACATCCCTAACTTTCTTATTTTACCTGACCGCCACTGGCAAAATCCTCCAAAGCAATGCCACTCCGACATCCCCAGATCGCCTTCTCGAAATGGGTGAGACCTAGGCCTTCTGTTGTATCTATCCGCTGCCTATTGCGTTGACTTTTCCATACCACCATATTTTGGCTCCAACAATGTCTCTATACAATGGATCCAGCAACCAGTTTCTCCACACGGACCCTTTGCTTTGTTGTGGGGGTCTGGGGGCAGGGTGGGGGCTTATTTGCATTGGGGTACCCCCTTTGATACCATCTCTGACTCCTAGATTTTTACAGGGTTATTCACTAAAGGGTGAAGAGTGGAGAAGGCAGGAGAAGTGAACAATCTAGGCTAAAATAATTCTCTAATTCAGCTCACTTTCCAGTTTAGCTAGAACAATCTAGCTTTACCTAGATTGTTCACTTCTCCTGCCTTCTTCAAACTCTTCACCCTTTTGTGAATAGCCCCGTTAATGTTTTTTTTGGGGGGGGGGGGGGGAGCCCACTTTTTTTTTTGAAAAAGTGATTTACTATCTGAGGTTTTGGCTGGTCCTCAGAGAATTATATATGTTTTTTTAAATTAGTCAAGTTAAAAAGGAATAGCAAATGTCCATAATGTCAGCTAATGTGCAAACCTGTAAACTCGTACATGAATGCCTGAGTGAAATGTGTCCTTAGGTAATTGGACATACCATTCCTAGCCTTAACTTTTGGCAAAAAAATTGTAACCCAGACTGTCCTCTTTCACCTATCATAGCTCTCTTTTGGACACTGTGATACAGTTGTAAATTGTAATTTTGCATAGCAGATCATCCTGGACTTCAGGGTTACTTTGACAGTTGAGGAGGCCTGCATGTTATTCAGACTGCAATTTAAGTGGTGTCTACAAGGGGAAGTTTTACTTTAGATACGTTTTTGCTATTAATCAAGGAACAAAGCACATTTTTGGTTACTTGCCTTTAGTTATTCTTTAATATCTCATTGATAATCCTTCCAGTATGCTAAATTCACCCAGGGCGAGAAACATTGTGTGCTTTGCTGCTTATGATTGCCATCTTTAACAAATCTGTAGAAACCTCATTTGGCCTCCTATTTTGTAACTGCTTAAAATTAATGTGACTAAATAGCATTAGCTGGCATATTTGCATTTTACATTTAGGCTTCTGATACTTGAAATATGCAATTATGAGGAATAGCATAGTTTTTAAATTACATTTTCACTGCTGGGATATTTTTATGCAATTAGGGAGCACAATGGTTGACATCTAGTTTAGCAGCAAACTGTATTTAGCACAAGCTTTGCAGGACCTGAAATGGCCAGAAATAGCAATACCTTCTGTAAAATGTTATACTTAGATCACTACAAGATCGACTACAATAAAATAGCATAAAAAAACAAACAGATCTAAAGCATCTTGTAGCTGCATGTTGAGCATAGTAGCCATCCATAGCAGCAACTCTACAAATAAGTAGAATAACAATCTGATTTGTAGCAGCAACAAATCTGTTACACACTTACAGGTGTGACAAAAAATATATAAATATTAAAATAGACCCCCCAACACCCGTTGCGCATAAAAATAATTTGACTCCTTCTGATCTGGGGGCTACTATCTATACCTTCACCTAGTGCATGTTCCTACTTTTACCCCAGTAATATAGTCCCAATATTCTGCCAACTCAACTCCAGCAAAACTTTTTTTAGTTTTTAATAGAGTGCGGTAGAGTAAGAAGTTTTGCTTTGCTTTTTATTTCTGTCTGGGTCTTTGTTCACTTCCTGCCCTGGTAACCATTTTAATTTCCTGGTGTCAGGTAGAGAGAGAAATCTTTACCACAAAAAAAAAGAAAAAAAAATGG